ATAGTCCGGCTGTTTCCGCCGAGGGCGATGCTTGGTTTCATGCTTGAACTTCACACAGCGGCTGGGCATCGTGTGGACACTGCGGTGCTTGGCTTGGGAAGGGGGAGGGAGCGGATTGAGCATAAATTGGAGCGTTTTCAGTTGTCCTGCCAGGGCAGCGTGAGGACCGAGGGGCGCGCTGCCTTGCCACCCAGCAGCCCCTCACCACTGGCCCGATCCCCACACAGGTGCCTCCACGCTCTGAAGGTGGGCTGGAAGGTGTGCTGGGCGAAGGCAGAGGAGGAGGAGGAGCAGAGCCACATGGCCTTCCTCTCCCACGACATCAGCATGCTGCGCCTCTTCGAGACCTTCCTGGAGAACACCCCACAGCTCACCCTGCTCCTCTACGTTATCCTGCGGACAAACAAGGCAGAGCCCTCCCAGGGTGAGGGGTTTGGGGCCAGGAGAAGGGGGCTGCGGGGGTGCAGGCTTGAGATCAGAGTGGGCTTGGACGGGACAGACCAGATGGGCTGTCCAGGGGCTGCGGGACCGAGCAGGACAGTTTGTCTGTCCTTCCTTGAGGTGTTATTCTCCCACGTCACTCCTTCCCTTGATGTGACACACAGGAGGGTGGACCCCTGTCCTGTGCTCACATACCCCAATGGACTATGCTGGGCTTGGGGTGGGAGGGTTGAAACTGGGGGATCTCTGTGGTCATTCCCCTATATGCCTCAGGAGTCTGAGGGTCAGGAGAGAAATCGGGAGCCTGCTGGGGAGTGGGAAGATGCTGTTGTGGATGTGGACGGAGGGTGGAGCGCTGGCCACCGAGGAGGGGCTTTGATGCCCGTCCTGGGGTGGGGAGCAAGTGTCACTACAATGAAACAGGGAGCCCAATCATGCGCTGGTTGGGTGGAGCCAGCACTCATCTCCTGCCCGTGTGGGCTGGGGGCTTCCCTGGCTGGGAGATGGGCTCTGCCGAGACGCTCGGTCCTGTCGCTTCTTCCCCATGTCCTGGCAAGGCTGGGCACCAGCCTCCTCCTCAGGGAGGGCGGAAGGCCAGGGGAGGGATACAGGTGCTGAGGCTCTGACCCTCTGCAGCAGCTGCTTTGCCAGCTGGTGGGAAGCTTGTTTTAGCAATGCCGGGCAGGGGGAGGTTTGAGCTGGGCTGGGCCCCGCTCAATGCCCTCAGCATCTCCACCACTGTGTTTGCAGGACTGGGGATCTGCACTGCGTTCCTGTGTGTAACCTGGTCTCTACTGGACTACCACCAGTCCCTGCGCTCCTTCTTGCAGGACAAGTACGAGCTGAGCCTGGGCTCCTCCATCGTCTACTTCCTGTGGAACCTCTTCCTCATCTGCCCCCGCATCCTCACAGTCGCCCTCTTTGCCCTGCTCTGGCCCTACGGCGTGGCTGTCCACTTCCCGCTCGTGTGGCTGGCCATGTTCCTCTGGGTCAGCCTGCAGGGCACGGACTTCATGGAGTCGCCTGGCCCCGAGCAGCTCTACCGGGCCATGGTGGCCGTGATCCTCTACTTCAGCTGGTTCAATGTGGCGCAGGGGAGGACGCTGTACCGCAGCATCATCTATCATGGCTTCATCCTGGTGGACAGCACGCTGCTGGCCCTGTCCTGGCTCTGGTGCCGGTCCCCCTCTGACGAGCACTCGTACCTCATCCCGGTGGTCTCCGCCGCCCTGCCCTGCTACCTGCTGGGGCTGGTGCTGAGAGTCACCTACTACAAGTGGCTGCACCCCAATGTGCGGGCGCAGCAAGAAGGCGGCTACGATGAGGTGGATGCCAATGGGAGGAGTGACGGGCTGGAGTTTCACTCGCTCTCGGTGCCAGACCTCGTGAACAGGCGGATGTGGTGGCTGGCCCAGACCCAGTTCCCCATCTCCCGGCCGGCAGGGCAGCACTTCTTGAATGGGGCTGCTGCTGTTGAGTCTGCTGTCTGAGGCTAGCACCTCCAAAATTACTTGCCAGGGAGATAGATTTGTTAGTCCTGCTCCTGGTTCTGCCCCTCCAAGGCTGTTGTTTTGGGCAGCTGGAGGGACTGGCAGAAACCAGGGGTGATGTGCAAGCACCCGGCGTGTCCCATGGTGCACAGCATGGCTCCCATGGCTGTGCCCTTGGGGAGAGCCACCGTGTTTGTGGCGGGGGCCCGCATGTTGTGGCTGGCCCCCCGGGGGCGCGCTTTTTTTGTTATTTATTATTAGCTTTTTCAAAAAAAAAAAAAAGACCAATGGTTTGTTCTCTCTGTATCTGCCTCTTCTGTGCCTGCTGTTGCTACTCGGGGAGGTGGGTGGGGGAGAGCTTAGAATCATAGAATCATTAAGGTTG